AAAAAACGAAGTCCTTCCCTTTACAACTATGTATTGTAGTTTTGTAGGAAAAAAAGTCCCTATTTTTTGAAGATGTATACTGAAGTCCTGAGGGGTGAAGTGTCATGATTTCTGCAGCTTATTTTCAAATGGTTCATTAAAAAAATTGTTTATATAAAGAGAAATAAAGCAAAAAAGGCAATAATTGGTCAATCTAGGTGAAGAGCATATGGGTATGCACAGTACTAGGCTTTGAACTTGTCTGTGGCTTAGAAAGTTCCAACACAAAATGTTGGGGGAGTGGGGGAACACACAAGATCAGCAAATAAGTAACAATCAAAAGTTAGGGCTAAAAGTCAGAGCAGAGAGTTCCAAAGGAGCCATTCTCTTTCTTTTCCTCTTTCACATTTATAAAGTATTATTGTGTGAAATACAGCTTTCTTATACAACCAGTTACAGCAAACGATGTAGGCATCTTTGTGTGTGTCTGGAAAAATGTTTGGAAGGATGGCCCAAAGTATCAGTAATGGCAATGGCTAGTTAGTAAGATGCCAGGTGATGTTCATTTTCCACTTACATTCTGTGTATTGTTTGAAATTCTTATAAGGACTATAGGTCATTTATATGTAATCAGAAAAAGATGATAAAGCTATTTTCATTTTGAAAAAAATAATTAACCATATCCACAGGACCTCCTTGTTGTACCTTTTCTGCAACTTCCTACAAATCTATAATTACTACAAAATGAAAAGTTTTCAACCTACCAGTATTTACATCCTGATTTTAATAAGATGAAAAGATAGTAACTGTGACCAATAGATCAGGCTTTAAAAAAAAAAAAAGCCTTTGAGTTTCTACTAATGGTCATCAAATATTTATTCCAATCTCTCTTCCGTTAAAAAATAAAAAAGGCTTCAAATATAAAGTTGTGTTCTTGGGAGTATGGCATTTTAATCTTTTCTTTTTCAAGGCACAGGGCAAAGAAGGGGCAGAGAATAGAGCTCCCTGGATCTCTGACAGAATGCCTCTATACTGACGAGTGCAGACGATGAGCCCCACCTGCACTTCCTGGGTACCCACCAACACAAACCCTCATCGAGGGCATCCAGGTCTCAAGGCACCCATGGCGGGCACACAGCATCCTTCCAAAACACAGGACCATTTTTCTCTTAACTAAATCTCTGCTCTGAGCTGAACACCCCCTGCATTGATTTTACACAAAGTCCTCAAAGAAGAAAAAACACTCCTATGCCTTTCTTTTAAAAAAAAAAAAGAAAAGAAATATATATATGTATATATCTATACACACACACAAACACACACACACACATTCAACAAGAAATCATAATTTTGGAAAAGGGGAAGCGGTCACCTCCTAGAAGGGCTGTGCAATAGCTTCAGGTTTCACAGTGAAATGTGTGTCCTGCTGGCCCAGTCACACTACCTAAAAGCAGCTGCTCTGCAACACGAGCAGAGGAAGTTAGGCTCCTGGTAAAGCCAGGGCCGCAGCAGTCAGTACTTGCAGGCTTGAAGGCAGGAAGAGCCAGGGTGGCACAGCCCGGCAGCTGAGCTGGCCCCTGCAAACAGCAGTATGGCTCCATCAAGGTGACAGGGTCCAAGAGATCTAGAAAGCCATCAGGGACTACCTGGCACTAAATTCAGGCCTGGTGCCCTAACTGCCCCCAAGCTGTCAAGGCTAATTGATAAGACTGGGTCAAGAGTGATGACGGAGTAGAGACAGGCAGCTGGTGGGGAGCACTCTTCCCTCAATGTGAGCCCCTGGGTGACATGGATCTTCCAGTGCTGGCTGCCTAAACCAAGCTCAGCAACCATCTTTCAAATCTGATCTGCTGTATCTAGATACTTCAAGTTCTGTCTGTCTTCAGGGCTATCTTCTCCTCTATTCAGGCTTAGAAAGTCCTGAATAATCTCCTTGTTTCTCTCTTCAGACTTGGCCTTTGCATTCCAGTTCCCAGTCATAAGCAACTTCCTTCTGTTCCCCCCAAACATCCCAGGCCCAACTAGGGCCCACCCGAAGTCCAGGTTAGGTGCCCCGCCATCATATCCCCAACGGGGCCTCCATTATAGCACTTACCATGCCAGGAGGATGCCACTCATCTCATCCCAGCATTGCTCTTGGAGGGTCACTGTCAACCCCCCCATCCCCTCTTCTGCAGAGAAATTGGCTCAGAAAGCACAGGCCAGGGAGCATCAGGGGTTGCAGGGCTAGAAGCCTGGCCCCACTGCTCTGTTACCAGCAAGGGAGACCACTTCCTCCCAGTGCCACCACTTTGGAAGAGCTTGAAGGTGAACCCCTGGCCAGCAGGGGCCACTTGGAGGAGTGGCAGCAAACCAGAGGGACTAGTGGTTTGGGGGTGCCTGGGTCTCCCTTCTTACTTTGCTTATATCCCCTCAGAGGCAGAAACCTGAAGCCTAAGCTTTGGCCCTGGCTTGGTACAGATTCCCAGGCAGGGAAGCTGCATCTCCGGAAAAAGGAAATCTCAAACCAAAATAGACACCAGAAGCGTGCAACCACCATCACAGAAGAGCAACAGATGAATTCATACAACATGGAGCACGACTGTGCAGACAGACCAATTTTAATTAGCATAATAGATATCCTCTAAGGTACGAAAGCAGAAATGGTAAAACAAACCAAGGGGAAACATGGAGAAGAAAAATATAGGAGTTAAACACAATAGATAAGTAGTACAACGGATGCAAGAAGAGAACAGAGTGATGCAATGGAATTTCAGAAAGACGAATCCACGCAGAAGGAAGAAGAAAAGAATGAAGGAATATGTTCAGAGACAGAGAAAATAAAAGCAGAGATTTCAGTATCCAGATAATAGGCGACAAGAAAGAAGAATGGTGAAATAAACAAAAAAGAAAGTATTTGAAGAAAATTAAGAATTCCCCAGAATGGAAAAAAAAAAAAAGATTCAAGACTTCAGACTAAGAGTTTAGAAAGGGCCAAACAAGATATAAAGACCCACACCAAGGCACAGCATAGTGAAATTTAAGTATGTTGAGATTAAATGCAAATTCTAAAAGTTTTCAGAGAGAAAGAGAGAGAGAAAGGATCAAGCTAATACCAAATTTTTCAATAGTAATACTGACACAGAAAGACAAGGGAGTAATATTTTTAAAGCTCTGAAGGGAAAGAACTTTGAAGGTAGATGTTTCCAATGTGAGGGCATAATAAAGACCTCATCAGGTGTGCAAGGCTACTGGAGGTTTGCTGCATAAAGGCTCAATCTGAAAATATGCATCAAGGAAGCACTCAAATAAAAAGATAAATAATCCTGGAGGAGAAGATACATAGGAAATAAAAAGCTAGTCAGAAGTTTAGTAAGGTTTGTTGCCTAAAAAAGAACCAGACAAAAAAAGGAAGGGATTTCCAAAATTCCAGGATTAAAACATTAGATGACAACAACACACTTGGGATCAGGGCTGGGAAAAGAGAGACCCAACCTGTAAGATACTTGTATTATCCAAGGGCCAACACAGCATTTGAGAAGTGATAATAGGGAAAAATAAGCTCATTTTGGATCTTAAGAGCAACCACAACAAAAATAGAATTTGTTTTAAATGAGAAGAAAATTTCTTTTTATCTTATCTGTTAGAAAGCAGGAAATGAGAAAAAAAAAACAAGTATAATAAGGAGAAAAATATTAAATAAGATGTTAGAAAAATAATAATAAATAACATGTTAGAAATAAGTTGTAGTTAAACAGTAATTACAAGCATAAATGAAAAAACTCACCAATTAAGGACTCTTAGATTGGGTACAGGTAATACATTGGCTAGGAGAGACAGATACATAAAAAACAGAGAAAGAGGATGGAGATGGATATCCCAAACAAATATGAACCAAAAGAAAGCTGGAGAATCAGTCTCAATATCTGATAATATAAAATTCAAGGCTAAAAAAAAAAAAAAAGCAAGGGACACAGCTGGGTGCTATATCCTGGGAAAAGAAACAAGAGAGTATAAATGTGATCTTCCATAGTATTATGTACCTAACTATATGATCTCTTACATAAAGCAAGAACAGAAAGAACAGGATGGTAAGAAGAAAAGATAAATCAACAAATACCCATGGATATTTTAACCCACTTCTTTCAGATGCTACTAAAACAGGCAAACAAAAAATAAGCAGAGATATACAAGATCTAAACAATACACTAACACAATACACTTGCTCGAGCAAGAAAATCTAGAGAGAGCTCATCACCCAAACAGAGAATAGGTAATGATTTTCAACATTTATAAAAACTAGCCACACACTAGGCTAAAGCCTCAGTAAATTTCAGGGAACCAATACCACAGAGGCTCTCTGCTCTGATCATAAAATTAAAAAACAATAACAAAAATCAAAACTTGTACATGGCTAGATACTAGATGAAAAAGAAAAAGATTTTTTAAAAATACATAGAATTGAATAACAATGAAAACACAGCCTGTCAAATTTGTGAGACAAAATGAAGTCACAGTAAAATAAATCCCATTAAATGCATCCCTCTGTTTGTTCTTTAATGCTGAAATGAGCGAATATTTCCCTGAAAGTCACCCAAACAGAACACGGACCACTGTAGAAAAGTTCCCCCCAAATCACAACTATCTCCCTGGTGACCTGCTGGGTGCTCTGCCCCCCAGGATTCATGAGAGACAAAAGTAATGCTGTTAAACCTAAAGGAAAAAACCACCTTTATTAAGAGCTGCCCAGGAGGCCTATCCAAGCTTAACCAAGGCCTATTCTATGTCAGGAAAAAAAAAAAAAACACTGTGACCCTGAAACCTGCAAAAGTCCATACCCTTTGGGTGCCCCATTAAACTGAATGTAAAAATCAATGGTCCTTAGAATCCAGTCTCTCCTAAGTATTTCCTAAGGACCAGGCACTGCTAACTGCATACCCAACCCTCCAAGGCCAAGACCAAGCCCTTCCCACCATGTGAGATGAGGAACTCCCCTTCTGATATTACTGCCATGAGAATAAAACCCGTCTGTACACAAGTACCTGATAGGGTAAGTCGGCCATCCTTAAGTAAGTTTCCATTTTCAAACAGAAAGGAGACAAACTGGGGACACCATTGTTAGGTCTTGCAAACTGATGCAAAATAATAGCATCTTTGGAGTCAATCTCTTGCTGTTTCCTGCCAAAACCAAAACAGAGATCAAGAACAATCCACGTTGTTATACACATTCAATTCCCTTGGTTCCCCAGAGGTCCCTGGTGGGTCGTAGCTCCTCAGTGAACAAGCAGATCTGTTTGTCACTGGGGCTCACTCCAGAAGCGGAGTGGAAGCTTACCCAAAACACAAGAGGACCTTACAAACTATCACAGGGACTCCAAGGGCTTCAAGCGAAACTGTGTATCAACCTCCTTCTGGTAACTATAGCCTTTTGGGGCAGGAAGAGTACTTTGTGATACAGGCCCACCTCCTCTCCAGCTGGCTATGTGTAGGGGCCAGGGACAAGCTGGGCGGATAAAAATAATGGTGTGTGCTTACTGGGTGTCAGGCATTCTTCTTAGGGCTTCACAGGTTATTATTTCATTTAATCTTCACAATGACTTTATGAGGGAGGTACTACTGTTATCCATGTTTTATAGATGAGGAAACTGAGGCAGAGGGGATGAACTTGCCCAAGGTCACACTGCTACTAAATGGCAGAACCTGGACTGAACCAGGCAGGCAGAGGCTATGTTTCTTGACCCGTGGACCATACCATGAAACTGTCCCTAGAATCCTAGAATAACAGCGTAGGTTTACTCTGCAATGAACCAAGTCTACAGGGAATCTGGGACTGCGAATACTCTGGCCCCTGTTCCAAACTATGGGTGCCTTCACCTGGCCTTTCACCTGGATGATGTCAAGGAAGCTGGCTCCTGGGCTCTATTCCATCTTCTCTAGCTTCCCAGGTCCCTGCTCTCGCTGCACAGAATAGAACTTAATACCCCTGCCTCTTCCCTTTCTTCTATCTCAGCCACACATTTAGTTTTCCCTTGGCTACTTTTTTTGGGTCAAAGGATTTCCCTGGGACAATCTTTCAGCGGATACTGTATAATAGAGAACATGCTAGATTCCAAGTGTGGACGCCTGCGGTCAAACCCAAGGCCTGCTTCCTACCTGCCACATTACCCTAGGCCTCTCTGCCTCTCCCACACAGAAAGCGAGGGCCGTACCGATTCTGCATCATTTAGCACAAGGATGAAATTTATAACATCTGTAAACATTTGTGGAGCTATCAAGCATCATGTTAGGATTGTAGAATCTATTCTCATTCACAGAGATATGGTCTTATCCCCTTAAACTACAAAATCTCATCATCCTACCGGGCTTCGATCTTATGCTACCCTCAAGAACCTTTTGCAATTATCTGCCTTTCACTCAATCCAACCGCTTCCCAGTCAGATAGGCCTCGCTCTTCCCCTTGGCCTTCCCTGAATCTCTGGTTCCTTCACATCACTCCCAGTTTAATCCCACATACTTCCACCCAAGCAAGAGCAAGCTCTTTGTATCATCGTCCCATGGTGCTCACCCACTGCAGCAACGGCATTCAGTTAAAACAAACTCTTCTGGAGAAATTTATCACCAAAGCACCCCTTCTACTTAAAGAGTTATGAATGACACTCACTTTGCAAACACTGGTCAAGTCAAAAGGATACAAGTATTTGCTGTTTTCTGGCAATCTTTGCTATGTAAAACAAAGATTTTCATTTAGATGAAACGTTGGGGAGGTCAGATACTAAAATCAAGAAGACTCTCAGATGGTTCCCAGAGAGCGCAAACTAGATTTGACAATTAACTGATCTTGTCCAGTCAAATATTTCAAGTCACAGAGAGGTATTTTCACGTAGAGTAGCCAGACAAAAATTTAAGAACTGGAAAGATAAATATAAAATCTTCTGCTCCACTGCCCAGAAACATCTAATGCTAATGGTTAACTTGGGCCATATTCTAAGAATGGGTGTGACAAGCATATGCCATTGACTTTGTATACATCATGCATATTAATTTATTTCATCCCAACAGTAACACCATAGAGTGGATACTCTTACAGTTTAAATTTAGTGTATTATGGTATACAATAGATAACGGAAACTAAAGCTTAGAGAGGTTAAATAACTTGTCCAAGGAACATCACTGTAAGATTAGGTCATTAAGAGCTCTTAAGCCCTTCGACCACACAAAAATGGGCAATTTCTCAGTAAACTATCAAAACCACCAGTTTGACTCCAGCCACTCCAGCCTGAAACTTTCTGATGGAAGTTATAATAGCTAATGATGGCCAGCTTTAATTGAATGCTCACTTATGTGTCAAACTGTTCTAAGCGTTTCACGTGTCCTAACTCAGTCAACTCCATAAGGAAGGCTATCAGTATCCCCATTTTACAGATGAGAAAGCCAAGCAGCCAAGAAGCTCATTCTCATATCCAAGTTTACATGGTTATGTAAATTTGAGCCCACTGTGGCTCCAGAGACCTCCTTCCACACATCAGAAACTACTCTCTACTAACTTAGGATCAGAAGAACAGGTATTTAATAACATACCTTGGACAGCTCTACTTTCTAAAGTGGCTTTATAACGAGGGTTACATAAGAGAACACCGACTGGGCAGCAAGACTAGCCCCAGCTCCCATCACGAAGTGTATCACAGATGACCGGGCCTCGGTGTGCGGCTGGTGAGCTGTTAGTTTATGGAGATCAGATGTTGGCTGACCTGTGGGCTGCTCTGATTCCATAAGTTCTCCACGACGGGCTGAGCCCAAGTGCCCAAAGTGCAAATAAGCTACCAACAACAACATCATTATTTATTCATTCGATTTACAAACAACACATTTTCAAATGGATTGAATTTAAGACAGCTGCTAGGCAGGCTCTCACCACTCAGGAAGGAAGTAAAGAAGAGGGTTGAGACACTATTTGTTTAAAAATACTGCAGTGGGGGAAAAAGCAGGCATAAAATCCAAAATACCTCTCTTGGTTATACTCACTAATTAAACTTCCTAAGTAATTCTCACCAGCCAACTTTCTTTTACACACTGGAGACATGGCCATACACGAAGGTTATGTCTCTCCAGCAGAAAATCCTAGTGGAGAGGTTACGACTTTACCATGGCCCGTGACCTCAGACACTGTGATCATTTCAAGGTGTGTTTTCCATCCCGCAGATTCCAGATTGTTTTGTTTTGCCTAAACTACAGAGACAACTGACACTTAGATTTCACCCTAAATGGGAGTCTCTGTCATGTAATCTCTGACTCACAGTCCCAGACCTTGTTCAGTCTTCCCCAGCCCCCATCTTTCTGTGCCCCTAGGGGCTGTAAAAAACTCAGGTCCCTGCCACAGGCCTGTCTTCCCTGGACCATACCCCAATTCTTTACATTTCTCTTCTTCTCCCCCCATCAAGGCTTATTTCGGCATTGGTACTTTCTAGGAGGCAGCAGTTAAAGTGCAGAGTGCACAGACACACATTTCCAGGCCTGGATCCTACTACTCTTACTGTGTGATCTTGGGCAAGTAGTTTAACCTTCCTCCCTCAGCAGTATGAAATGGGAATCAAAGCATCCAACCATAGTTGAGAGGGATAAATGCAAGTAAAGAACTTCTCTACAGAATCCCTACTAAGGGATCCAAAAGGGGCAGCCATTTTTATCATCCGCATTATAACAGTTTTCTACTCCATTATAACCTATTTCATACCCAGGGCTTAAACATCCATCGAGAAACAAAAGTGAATAAACGAAGAATGAAAAAGTCCCAATCTCAATAAGCATCCAAGCAGTCTGCTAAGCGGGGAAGGACACATCTGTGGACAGAGGGCTCTTCTGTGTCCAGCAACCACACCTGCCAGGGCGTGGCCTGCTCTCAGGATGAGCTCTGGGCCCCTCACTATTTCTGAAAGGTCATTTAAGCAAGGTTTAGACTTGGTCCTACGAGGCTGTGCCTTCACTCCCACCACAAAGTGTTAAACCAGCAAGAAGCCACAGTTCTGGATCCACAGTTCTGGATCCTGAAAAGGTTCTGGACTGGAATATAACTGAGAAACAACCGGGTTACCATTTAAAGTACTGCACAAATGTTTTCGGTTCTCATACAGCTTGAAATCTAACTTGAAGTGGAGTTCTAAAACTAGCAAAAATAGGAAATAATCTGGAGAAATAATTCACTTTAAACATTTTTATTTGGTTCAGCGAGATGATTCAAGGTACTGTGCTGAGAGAATTCGGTGTATATAATAAGCTTAGAATGAAACTTCTCAATTATGGCCAGACTAACAGTGAAAGCCAATACAGTTCCTCAGACCGAAATGATTTCCCACACTCTCAAAGAGTGGAAATATTCAAAACACCTAAGTTGGCCTGTCACAATGCCCGGGAATCCCTGCTGGCCTGTTAAAGGTCACCTATCACTGTCTTTGTTTATAACCTATTGGGTAGGATTCCCCCGCTGGAAAAAGGCAGTGTGAACACATACACTGGCCAACTGGGATATTCTGAGCCATTGAAAACCGCCCGCTTCTGGTCATCTCCCAGAGACAGAGGGCTCCAACGCATGGAAATTTTAAGCGTAAACTGATGCTATCAGTGAGCCAAAGGACCATCCCAGGAGCTTATGGTATTACCCTACTCAAACAAAGATCTCATGTCCTTCTGGATGTACCAACGGTAAGGGGCCTCCATTTTCTGGCATTTCCAAGGCAGTCCTGTCAACATTCTGCGGCAGGCAGCCTATGCAAGTGTTTACGGCACTGGGCTGACTCCCGTGTTCCTGTCAAACACGCCCATGTGCTAGTCCTGTCCTCGGATCTCCTGCTGCTCTCACAACAATGGCTCTGAAAGCCCACGATGGTACTTAGCTTTAAACACCTGATCAGCAGACAACCAGGTTAAGGCTGCATCACAACTGCACACTACTATACTTGACCATGCCTCTCTAACAGGGGGGGGGGGGGGTGTCCCTGGAGCTTTTGCAAATTTCAGCCTTTTGAGGATGTTGAAATTTGGAGAGGGAGAGTGGAGAACTAACCTTTAAGATAAGGTCAGCGGTTACCATTCCAGCATTATTACCCATAAACAAATAAGGCATTTCCGAAAAGTGTAACTTAGGATCTGGACAAGGCCTCATTCTATTGTTGCAAACACTGCACTTAGAGAGCATTTCCGAGTAGACTATTTCGCTCCACAACAACCCAGAGAATTTTCGCTTTTTGGCACCGAAGGACTGGGAGACCAATGTTCTCCCCCCTCCCACGCCCAGTTTAATTCTTCTGTCAACTCGAAACTGCCCCCTCGGGCCAGGTGACCACGGATTGATTGCCTCTAGGGAAGGGCTGGGGCAGGATTCTCGGCTTCTGCGCGGCGTGACCTAGCGCTGGCACGGTCCCCCCTGGCGCCAGCCCTGCCCTGGCCAGGTGCCCCTCTCGGCGCCCTGCGCGGGGCCCTCTCTCCGGCTCACCTAATGACCAGGAGTTCGTGGAGCAGATACGCAGCTGCGGCCAGCAAAGCTCCCCCGGTCAAGTAAAGTGTTTTCTTCCACCAGGGATCGGAGCCCAGCCCTGCCATGATCCCACCGTAATCCTGCAAAGGGAAAGCGATGATGTCCCCATAAAAGGAGAAAGGTTCCTCGGACCCGGCCCACCAGCCGAAGAAGGAGACGCTCTGGTTCCAGCTCAGGTCCACCACGCACGGCCTGGACGAGGCAAAGCCAACCCCCCAGTGCATGCTGCGCGGCTGGCTGCGGGCGCCCCTCCCAGGCCCGCGCCGCCCGCAGGGGAAGGGGCCGGCGCGCGGGGGGCGCGGGCTCAGCGGCGCGCGGGCGGCGGCGGCGGCGGCGGCGGAGGAGGAGGAGAAGGACGGGCGGCGAGGGCGCGGGCGAGGGCGAGGGCGCGGGCGGCGGGCGGCGGGCCTGGCCGGCGGGGCCCCGGGGCCCTGGGCGGCAGCGGCGGCCGCCGGCTCCCCCCGCAGCGGCCTCTCCGCGCCGCTCTTTGTGTCGGCGCCTGGAGCAGGCCGCGTGATGTCATTGCTCCCCGGGGCAGGGAAACAGGCGGGATAAAGTCACCTACCCCGCGCCCTGCCCCCGCCCCGCATCTCCGCGGTCCGGCGGCCTCCGCCCCGGCCGAGGCTGCAGCGCTGGGCGCGCCCCGAGGGCCCCGCGCCTCCAGGCGGCGCGGCCGGGAACGGCTCGGAGCCGGGGCTGGGGCTGGGGCTGGGGCTGGGGCTCGGGCTCGGGCTGGGGCTGGGGCTGGGGCTGCGGGGGGAGGGGGGGCTGGAAATGCGGCTCCACCGGGAGGAAGCTGCAGTCAGGGCCCGGATCTCCGTCCCCGCCCCGCCCCCCCCCCCCCCCGCGCCGCCGCTCCGGCCCCTCCCGCGGGCCCGGGAGCGGGGAGCGCGCCGGACTCACCTGCGCCGCGGCGAGCGCCAGGCCCCCAACGCCGCCCGGCGGGGCTGGGGACCAGGGCCCGGATTCAGGCCGGGAGCTACCCTCTTCTGGCCATCGGGAAGGCGCTGTGCATTTGCATAATTCATAAAAACACTCTGATTACAGCGCACAGTTCCCTAGGTCTTGGCCGTGCGCTCACGGACAGGAGGAGACGTCTGGTGGGACAAATACCAACAGAAACGCACTCTGGAGGGCTTTCCCCTCGGCCGGACCCAGCTCGGGTCTTTTTCCCCTTTGAAATCATTATGGGGGAACTTGTACATGTGGGGTGTTTTGGTTTGTGTCCCTTTTCTTTTCGGTGCAGAAAATCTGGTAAATGTGTGTGTGTGTGTGTGTTCGATTTTTTTTTCCTTAAACTTCATTTTTAATTTCATTTCGTAAAGTTGGTTAGGTCCCAACAAGAGGGCCATGTTTCATAGTTTTATGATAACACGGATTTTGGCAAGAGCACGAATAGCTTAAAATTGTTTGGAGGAACTGAAAAAAAAAGTAGTGAATGCTGTCATGTTCCTAAATGCGGGTTTTTTTTTTTTTTATTGTTTTGTTTTTTTTGTTTTTTTGTTTTGCCAGCATGAAGGAGCAATGGAAGGGGTTGGCCATGCAGCAGCGCTTGCAGTGTCCCATACACCACCGTGTATGGACACCTGACCTGTCTGGAAGTAGTGTATGCGCTTGGAAGCAAAACTCCCATGAGCAGGTGGCAAAGAGTGGAACCCAAGGGCCTGCTGGAGTGATAGAGGTGGTCACTAGATTATTCCAGAGAGAGGGACCAGAAGGCTGCAGGGTCTTGTTCACAGGAGTCAGAGCGGTAAGCTTGGAATCAGAGCAGGAATCCCTGTACTGGCTACTGGCTGGGTCAGTCAGTACTGCAAGCCAGCTCTTGATCTCCAGATGGTGAGTTCGATCCCCATCTTGGGTGTAGCAATTACTTAAATAGATAAACTTTATTTAAAAAAAAATTTTAATAAATAAACTTAAATAAAATGCAGAGATGGGACAAGGAAGACCAGGGATCCTTCATTCTTCTTCTATGCCCTTCCCACATAGCACCAAGCCTTTGCTCTCATTAAATGTTGAGCCAGTATTTAAAGAGTGACAGTTTGTTATTTGGTCCTGAATTATTTGCCTGAGTGTCCAGATTCAGCCATGGGGATGAACATAAATTACCTTCAGTGAAGCAATGTGGAAGGCCAAAGGGAGAATCAATACTGGCAAACTCTATGTTAGAAAACAAGTTAGAAACCAGATGAATTTAATGTTTTGGTCCCAGAGAGCCACTTACCCATTTTATTCTCATACCTCTTGTGGTAGGCAGACCTGCCCTGCCCACTTTTGGAGGCTGGTGACCAACTGCTGCCTCTTGGTCCTATCAGATCATCTTTGAGCATTAAAGATGCTCATCTTTAAACCATCACCTTGAGCATCTGGTCTTTAGTTCAAATGTGGTTTAAATTTTCAGAGACAAAAAAAAATTTAAATTAAAAATAAATAAATAAATTTTCAGAGACACTTTGAAGTGAATATCTTTTAGATGTACATGTAAATAAAATAAAATTTCACGGGAAAAGCTAAAATAGAATCTTAATCTGATACAGATTAAAATTTAGCTTTTAGACCTGTGACATAGGAGAAAGATTATTTAAACTCAGCTTGTATAAAAGTGAAAGGAAGCAGAGTAATCTCTGAGGAGTCAGTAGACATAAGAGGTGGACAAAAGTTTGGTGTGACAATGTCAGTGCAAAGCTATGGGGAACAAGGAAAGCAGCCACAGCTGTGAAGGCACGGCAGCCATGCAAGCCTTAACCAACCTTTGTGCAAGATCAGATGAGCCCTATGTGGAAAAGCTGCTCCACCACAATGGGATGGAATCCAGCCACAAAGAGAAGGAAGACTTTGGCTCAGAGTCAGGGGCTCAGCTCCAGGTGAGTAGGGGTAGTGTAATTAACAGCCAGAGGGGGACTGAACAGAATGGAGTCAACAACTAACTCTTTTGAGAATGCCTCCTCAGAATAGCCTGTGTAGAGCCAGATCCCAGGCTGAACCCACGGTGAAGCTGTAGGGAGCTAAGTATGTCTGCACTCCAGCTCCTCTTCCAGGGCTCCTTCAGCTACTGAAATGATATGAAGACCACAGGAGCCAAATGGGCATCTTTACTGCACCTCTTCCACACCACCACCAATCCTAACAGCCTTGGTGTCATAACCATGGACATTAGCTTCAAGCTAGAAGGATCTTGTCATTTTTCTTTTGTGAGGACTTTGTTTTACTAACTCTAATTGGGGCTTTACAAGACCAGAAAAGGGAAGGGACTAATATTTATTATACACCAGACCTGCCTGTCCGGTGATATTTTTTTCAGTAACTTTTCAAAACAACCTGTGTTCGTTAAGTATTGCCATCCCCATTTACAAATGAGGAAAGTCCTAAGGTAGATAAATTAACAAGTTCAGTTCCCAGAGCTGGGTAATGATATATAGCCAGGGTTCAAACCCACTGTGTCTTACACCAGCAGCCCTTTGTGCTTTACAGCATAGCGTCTATGGTATCTCTCATGTACCAGGACTGGAGCGCTGTCCATGGTATTCCTTCTTTACACCATTCTATTCTGAACTATGTCTAAATCCAATGGCTGGGACACCTGGATGGCTCAGGGGCTGAGCATCTGCCTTTGGCTCAGGTCATGATCCCGGATCCTGGGATCAAATCCCTCACTGGGCTCCCCGCAGGCAGCCTGCTCCTCTCTCTATGTCTCTGCCTCTCTGTGTCTTTCATGAATAAATAAATAAAATCTTTATTAAAAAAATAAAATAAGCCCAATGGCTATAAAGCCTCAAATATCTACCAGCTATATTGTCATCTTTTGAGAAAGGTGGATTCAGACAGTTCCTTATGCTAATACTGCTATGCCTATTTATGCCTGGCTATGATGATATGACAAGGGACAAGTAAATCAGTGCTTCCCAAACGTGTATATGTATCAGCTGGAACTCTGCCATGATGATCAAATAAGGTTCAATTAGATCAGTTCTTCTCAGACATTAGTGTGCATATGAATCATTTGGGATCTTTTTAACATACAGATTCCAACTCAGTAGTTCTGGTGTGAGGTCTGAAGTTCTGCATTTCTAACAAGCTTCCTGGTAAGACTAAACCATACTTTGATTAAAGGTGACCTAGACTGGGAGGCCTGGGTGGCTCAGTCAGTTAAGTGTCTACCTTCGGTTCAGGTCATGGTCCCAGAGTCCTGGGGTTGAGACCCACAGCCAACTCCTTGCTCAGCAGGGAGCCTGCTTCTCCTTCTGCCTCTGCCTGCTGCTCCCCCTGTTTGTGCTCTCTCTGTCAAATAAATAAATAAAATATATATATTTTTAAAGTGGTCTAGACCAACTGAACTCTACATCTGAAACTGATGATACACTATATGTTAATTGAATTTAAATAAAATAAGGTAATAAAAAATGTTTAAAAATAAAAGTGGTCTAGACCACCAGCTTATTAAGAGGATCAAAGATTCTGCCCAAAAGGAGCCCCCCTCCCAGACTCATTCCATGTTGGATGGTTCTTTTTTTTTAATATTTCATTAATTTAGGGGCACCTGGGTGGCTCAGTGGTTGAGCGTCTGCCTTTAGCCCAGGGTGTGATCCTGGTGTCCTGGGATCAAGTCCCACATCGGGCTCCCTGAATGGAGCCTGCTTCTCTCTCTACCTCTCTCTGTATGTCTCTTAAGAATAAATAAATCTTTTTAAAAAAAAAAAAGATTTATTTTTTTGAGAGAGAGAGAGAGAGAGGGCACACGCATGCACGTACATGAGTTGGGGGTGGAGAGCAGAGGGAGAGGGAAAAGCAGACTTCCCGCTAAGCAGGGAGCCTGAATGAAGCAGGGCTGGATCCTAGGACCTGAGATCATGACCTGAGCCTGAGGCAGATGCTTAACCAACTGAGCCACCCAGGTGCCCTGCAGTATTTTTTAAAAGATTTTATTTATTTATTTAAGAATACATATATTCTTAAATGTTCGATCTTTTCTAATTTGGTGGGTGAGAAAAGTGTCTCATTGTAGTTTTAAATTTGCATTTCTCTTGTTATGTGTGAAGTTGGGTGCATTTCTTTAAAATGCATTTGTATGGACTTTTCCATGAACTGTTCATTTTTCACTGGGTTACAAGTATTTTTTATTGATTTATCTGAGCTTCTAATTGAGAAAAATAACTCTTTGTGAATTGACTTGCAGATATTTTCCCCAGCTTGTTATTTTTCAATTTTTTTTTCAATTTTTTTTCTATGCCTTCTTGGTTTTCTATCATAAGAGAGGCTTCTTCCTCTGAGTGGGGTGTTTAAATCCACAATTTCAGATGTTCTT